TCCATTCATACTAGATCATGGGGGATACATGTAGTTGGCGACAACTGCTCGTTTCTAGTTATTATTTACGATTGTTTATACATATACATTCGTGCCACTCTTCCACAAGCTTTTCAAGAGCGTATGTTACGATATTTGTCTTTTTGACTCTATTGGGTTTTCAGTATTGGTTGAATAATATATAATTAATATATATATATATATATATATATATATATTAATTATATAGATATATATATATATGTATACGTTACTTATAATATATTATAATATATTCAATTGCTGGATGGCTGGGTCAATCGTACCAGGCGCGCGCGATTTCATCCCTGACCTTTGACCCCTGACCTCTGTTCCCTGATCTCTGACCGTCATTGTCATCATTTCAGAGGACGAGCGCGTGGCATACTACAGCGTCGACTCACCGATGACGATCCCAGTCATCGCATCCTCTGCCACAGCGCCGCATCGAGGACACCCGTCCATCGCCGCCATCGTCAACATCATAGCCGTCACCGCCGCCGCAGCGATGTCAGCGTTCCTGCTGTGTGCGTAGGTGGGAGGGCATGCCAGCGCCCCCTGGCGGCAGGCTGGTCAGGTCGCTTGGCTGGTCGGGCGTGAATTGCAAGGTTTCGTGTTCAGGGGAGAAAGAGAGAGAGAGAGGGGTGGTGTCGTCGTGTGGGTAGTCGTGTCCCTTAACTCGTAACTTCCCTCCTCCTCATCTCACAGGTGACCCCTCTCTTGTAGTTTCCCCTCCTCATCTCACAGGTGACCGCTCTCTTGTAGTTTCCCCTCCTCCTCTCACAGGTGACCCCTCTCTTGTAGTTTCCCCTCCTCCTCTCACAGGTGACCCCTCTTCTTGTAGTTTCCCCTCCTCCTCTCACAGGTGACCCCTCTCTTGTAGTTTCCCCTCCTCCTCTCACAGGTGACCTCTCTCTTGTAGTTTCCCCTCCTCCCCTTACAGGTGACCCCTCTCTTGTAGTTTCCCCTCCTCCTCTCACAGGTGACCTCTCTTGTAGTTTCCCCTCCTCCTCTCACAGGTGACCCCTCTCTTGTAGTTTCCCCTNGCACGCACACACACGACGACGTCGCACTGCACGCACGCACGCACGCACGCCGCACGCACGCACGCACGCACGCACGCACGCACGCACACACACACACACACACACACACACACACTCACCGACTTCCATGAAGCGCACTGCCTTGTCCTTGACAGCCTTCGTCAGCTGGTCTGTCTCCTGCAGGTAGTCCGTTACGAAGATGTTAGGGGCAAAGTTGAGCATGTTCTGCTCTCCGCATCCGAACGGCATTCGCAGCAGCGACCCCATGTTGCTGACGGTCGACCCCATCACGTCACCTACAGGTAGCAAGGACGTGGTTATTACCTTATACCTCCCTCCCTCCCTCCTACCT